ATATAATACAATTACATTAATACAATATAATATCAATTTTATTATATATATTATATAATATTATATATGTATATATTTATATAATATGTATAATATATTTATGTATTATATACTATAATATTATATATTTCCTCTAATATTATATATATTAAAAATAATACAATTATATATTAAGGATACAATAGAAAATAATAAGAAAAAAAAAAAGGATTTCATCTTAGTTAAGAAATAATATTCAAGTTTGAAATCAATAGGAGAAGTTAATCAATATAAAATTAAATGTGGGGTATTAATATAAAAATTGCAACTAAATATCCATGGATTCACATCTTCTAGGCAATCCAAACAATGGACAAGCATATTCCATATTTCTTATCAGGTGGTGTCCAAACAGCAGACATCCCTATCTAGGGACAAACCAATTCCAGGATAACCCAATTCTAAGAGAAACCTATTCCCAGCTACCCAAACGGGCCCTAAAACCCCATGACCAACCTCAAAGGAAAAAAAAGGAGAAGAAGAAGATAATTATCACTCTCTAAATTTCTAAAAATTGACATCCCATTGTATAAAAAATGTCTAATTTTTAGAGAGAATGATCAAGATGTTCAAGAACTTAAAGATCCAAATTTTTGAGATACAAACATTTTTCTTTGAACATAATCATTTACTATACTGAGATTGATCCCAAAATCTGGGAAAAAAAAAAAGAGAAAAAAAAAAAATTTCCTTCCAAGTAAGTGAGTTGTTGTACAGTAATGCTCTCGCAGGAGCATGTTATACACGCTCTTTCTAAAATTCATGCCATTTTCTTATTTTTGTAATATTGGGAATCAATTTATAGAGTTGCATATCTAGTTGTTTTGATGGAAATTCTTATTCGGCGAGATTTCTTATTTATTGTATCGTTCGTTTGAGAAATGTTTTTAGAAAAATTAGGAGCAAAAGTTTAGGAAAATTAGGACTAAAACGTTCATTTTGTCGAAATTTCTCACAAGGAACTATTTTTTCAGATATATTTTAACAAAGTGTGAGTTTGTATAAGGCGCCTCCTTATTCTGTAGAAGTAGGAGCACATCTAACTTTTGTGTGGGGTTGTAGTTTTCATGTTGGAAACTCTATGATGGTTTGAAAACATATTTTTATTTTTAGTTATGAAATTTAAAATTCTAAAACATAGTATATATCGAGAAAATCTAAACACTTGAAAATCTTGAAAATAGACAATCGAAATGATTTGTTACAAGACGCACTATTTTTTATTCACGTCTGGTCAAACAATAGCTGTAGTGAACCTGCATTTAAACGTTTGTCGGGGTCCGCAATTGTATGTAATCATGTGGCTGAGAAAAAAAAAAAATTACCCCAAAAAAAAAAATGTGGTCGAGAAAAATCAAGCGTGACCTTCATATCATGGATTTGAATTTGTCACATAATTCATACTAGCGGAACGTGTGTTGCAAGACGCTATGCTCTAGATTGGATTTAAAAAATTCAGAAATTTTTTAATTAGAGAATCAATATATTAAATTTAGTTTAATATTTAAGTCAATAAACAATTACTATTTGTTCAATGCTATTTCTTTAGGGCAACGGCGTAGACGGTCGAAATTTCTTTTTTCTTTGTATGTATATGTTTCGAGGTCAAGATCTCTTTTAGATATTTTATGAGGTACACCTTATTTCAATAATATAAAATTGATATTTATATAAATTTTTTTAAAAAAAAATTAGAAAAGAAAAAAAATCACAGATAATTTAAAATTCACTACCCAGCTCAATACCAAAGATCTAGCACATTACCATCAACATAAAGGTCCATTTGATCCGAAGACCCGGGATATAACCAACCAAAATATAGGTACTTCAAATAATTTAATTACGACTCATAAAGAGTATCTCACGCATCTAAAACAAGTCACAGGTATAGAGATACAACATCAATTACATGGCTAACTCTATTTTGCCTATGTTTTAACGCAGTTACTTAATTACTAGAAAAAAAGATTAGGCATGGTATACAACAAGACCATTACCTTTGGTACAAGAGGACACAATTATTTGTAACCATGAAATCTAATAGCTTCGGTGTGTCATAAAGTTCCAAAAATTTCTTTTGAACTTTGAACTTGGTCAATGGAATAAATGAAGCCACTCAATTTACATCCACTTGTCAATTTTCACCACGTTATATCAATGGTAAATGGTATCATAGTATACTTTTCTAAAAAATAATTAGCAAGGCCAACAGAAGAAAAAAGTCTATATATGGTTGCAACTTTATACTACTGAAGTAAAGTGCATCACAAAAATCCTCTAGAAGAGAGTGTTTCGATATTCGAGAATCTTCCAATTGATCATTTCAACTTCAAGATGTATGGATATAAAGAAAAAGAATATTAAATCCTAAAATTAGTATATCTTAAAACAAGTTTTTAGATCATCTATTTTCAAAATTTTCAGTTGTTTATAGATATGCTCGATTTATACAAATTTTTGAATTTTAAATTTAATAACAAAGAATAAAAATATTTTTCAAGCCATCATAAGGTTGTTTTTAACACTATAACCATATCTCCAAACAAATTTTACAAGTGTGCGTTACTTCCAAAGTAAAAGGAAGGCGTTGTACACAAATTTCACTCCCAACTAAATAACATATCTTAATGAATCCTTCACCTGTGATAGGCCTTCCCCCTTGAAGCAATGCGCTGCACCACATGGGTGCAGTGAGAAATAAGCAAGGGTTTGCTAGGGTGTTCCACCAAAACAATGCCCCATAATAATGCCTAGCTACAATGATAAGTAGGCAAGGGTTCCCGCGTCATTCTGGATAAGCGTAGGTAAAGAAGCTAGTTCAAGATAGTAAGATCCGTTTAGCCGCATGGAATGTAGGAACACTAACAGGTAAAAGCATGAAGTTAGTGGATACAAGCAAAAGAGTTAACATAGCTTATCTACAAAAAACTAAGTGGAAAGAGGAAAAATACTAAAAAAATTGATAGATATAAACTTTGGTATATAGGAAAAGATAATAATAGAAATGATGGAAGCATAATAGTAGATAAAGAGTTAAAAGATAAAGTAGTGACTGTCAAGAGAGTAGATGATATGCTCTAATTAATCACACTCGTGTTGGGGGAGGAGATAATTAATGTAAATGATACCTAGAGTCGATAATACAGGAGAATAGAGAGATTGATGAAGATGTTGCATATAGAATTAGAGATAGCTCAGCGAAGTGGAGATGTGGGTTCGGAGTTTTATATGATCGATGCATCCATCAAAATTGAAAGGAAAGTTCTATATGACAGTTGTAAGACCAGTCATGCTTTATGGGATAGAATGTTGGCCAGTCAAAAAATAATATATTGGATGAGCATAGATAAGATGAGGATGTTGAGATGGATGAGTTACAAGATAAGAAAAGATATAATTTCGATGACGTACAAGGGAACTTAGATGTGGCTTCAATAGGTGAGAAAATGAGGGAAAGTATACTCAGGTGGGCTAATCATATACACTATAGACTTAATACAACACCAGTTAGGAGGTATGATTTGGTTCGCGTAGAAAGCTCTAAAAAAGAAAGAGGAAGACCCAAAAGGACATGAATATAAACAGTAAGAAAATATGACTTTTAGTCTCACTGAGGGTATAGCCATTGATAAAAAAGAATGCAGGAACATAATTCACATAATCGACCTTAAATAATTTAGATAAGGCTTAGATGATGATGATGATTTTCATGAGAAATATTTATTTCTTATTTTTGCTAGGTGCGACACAATAAAAGGATGGAATGCCTCAAATTTCACTCAAAAATATTTTATAGAAAAGAATTAAAAATCAAACAATATTTGACACAATATTGTGACATGCGCAATCCTGGCCATCCATTCATATAAAATAGCTAAGAGGTATGGTCATATTATTTAGAGATTGTCTGCAAAGAGATCACTTATATTTTGTACATGAATGTTACAATTATTCTCACTCATTAGATATCAAATTGGATAGCTTAAGGTGAGTCACAAAGTTTGAGATTTTTTTTTTTTTTTAAATTGTGTTCATTCAATAACACGCTTACAACCACCGATTTTGGAATTTAAGTGACCATAATGATTGTAACCTTTATGTACAAAAGATAGGTGGTCTCTTTATAGACAATTCCTATTATTTACAGGGTGCAATTTGTATAGAATTAAAGCTCTAAACAATCAAAGTAAAGTGCATCTTCAAATAGTATCGAGAAATGTGATTTTAATATTGGAAATCTTTGTGATAGCCTTAAAATATATTTCATCTTTAATTATAAAATTTAAAGCTTAAAAAATAGTATAGATCTATGAAAACTTGAAAATCTTGTAAATTAACAATAAAAAAATACGTTACAAGATGCACTATTTCCAAAATTTGAAATCTATTGTTTTTTCTCATGTCTATGCATCTTGATATCGATATGATCAATTTGAGGATATTTGGACATCAAAGCAAGCTCTTCTAATGAAATTTTTGAGGTGCGCTTTATTTTGAGGTGGAGATGATCATATAAACTTTTTTTTTTTTGAAGGTGGGGTCACATAGAAAAGGATAACTCCCCCAATTTAGCACAAACTTTCATGAATTTTACAGTACGGAAAATAATGCTTGGGATTGAACCAAGATTATTCAAGAAATAAAAAAACAAATGTTTTTCTCTGAACATATGCCATTGTAATCCAAAATTTCATATCCAAAGAATCCTGCCAATCATATTTACCAAGGGAGTAAGCAAACAGGAGTATGATATCATTCAATCTACCGGTCTTTCCTTTCCATAGAAAGCACAACAATTTATATCCAATAATGTACAAAACTTTACAATGCACCAAAAGAAAACCTCAAACCCCAATTGCTCATACCCCACTGAAAATTTTCTTCCGATCTAAATCACCGTACATTACATTCTTGACAGAGGAGAATCAGGACATGGTTTATCAGGCTCAGGACGGATGGGGTGAGAAGGACTGGCCGATGTATAATCCTCTCAATAGAGAGAGAGAGAGAGATGCATAGTACTCTCAATTAAAAGAGAGAGGCAGAATCATGTACCTCAAGCAAGAGAGAGAGAGAGAGAGAAGATGCATGAAATGCTATTGTGGGTGTTGAAGCATGTGGACTACCTCCTTCATAGATGGCCTCTCCTTAGGAGTCTCAGCTATGCACATACACCCCACCCTCAAAAACTCCCTAACCTCCTCCTCAACCAACCCCTCAACCCCAGGCGCCACCACCTCCTTCTCTTTACTCTGTCTCATAAGCCGCTTCACCCACTCCCCTAACCTCTCTCCTTCATCCCCCACTGCCTGGTCTGGCCTCCTCCCACTCACCACCTCCAGAGTCAAAACCCCGAAACTATACACGTCTCCCATCACCGTCGCCACAGACAACCCCCCGTAATACTCCGGGGGCATGTAACCCATCGTCCCAGCCACCTGCGTCGAGACGTGTGTGTGCTGAGGGTTCATGCGCCGGGCAAGGCCAAAGTCGGTTATGCTCGCGTTGAAGTCGGAGTCGAGTAGTATGTTGCCGGATTTTATGTCGCGGTGAATGATGCGAGGCTGGCCGTCGTGCAGGTACGCCAGACCATTCGCTACGCCTCTAATGATCTTCGCCCTCGTCCCCCATGACAGGGGGTGGGGTTGTGTATTGTCCTGTATCATGTTCAGAAACCCCTTATGGTTTACTATAACGGCCACTTCAAATAACGTTGCTACAAACGTTATCAAAAGCAGAAATAACGCCGGGTAAGGGATCGATCTAAAAGCGGGGGGGGGGGGGAAGGGATACACCATTTTAACTACACAGGCATTACAACTTTAAAAGTATAACAGCACAATTACAACACGCCCCTCAATAAAAAAAAAAAAATAGGGATTTATATATGGATCCTAAAATACAAAATGCAGGGGAAATTACGAAAAAATTTGGTTAACCCACTTCTCCTTCTTTTCTTTTTTTTTTTCTTTCAAAATTGCCCCTTTGTTTGAGGATAACCTCGAACCGGATTTTAATTTTATTTATTTTTTTGGTTAATAGGGCACTACACTAAAAGCTTGGGGGCCACTCCTCTACTAATGAAAAAAACTAAAAAAAAATCAATAAATTCAAACCGAAGATTTAATCCTCTGACCGAAAAGAAATTTTGAAAAATATAAAAAAACGGCAGGTTTATAATTTCTACCGATAGACAAAGCATTCCGTATTTTAGAAACAATTTTAGGATCTATACGTAAATCACTCAAAAAATAACGGCCACGATGGCATCATTGACGATACAATGCCCGCCTTTTTTTTATCAATTTTCGACCTTCACGTGGTTATATAATTTACCTTTACAATGCAAAATCATGCGAATGTTGGGGAAATAACCCCCCTTTTGGGAATAGTCGGTGAAACTTAGGAATGGAACTAACAATTCAAGCGACAAAGTCCCTCCCATTTTGGAAAAATTAGTGAAATTATTGCTTCTTTTATGAAAATTAATTTTCAACTCAAGAGTGGGTTCATAAAACACAAAAAAGTAGGGGCCATTTGAAAAGCATAAATGGTGGAGGGTCCCGTTATCAAGTGGGTTCCATGGCAAAAAAGTACAACAATAGAGACAAACAAAACACGGGTGGGTGCCAAAACAAGGGCTCATTTTTTAGTTTCCCACCCGTGTTTTCCACTGTGTATATTGGTCAAGTGCACAAAGGCGGCGGCCATAGTGTCTTGCCAGTTTACCGGTCGCCGCTACATGACACAACATAATACAACGGCCGTTAGTTTTTTAATTGTTTAGTATAACGGCCGTTATAACAAAGGAACAATGTTTTTGAAACGTACCCGAGGCTGCATATCCCCGTTATCATCAGGATCATGGAGGCATCGATAGAGCGATCCCTGGGGCAGCAGGGGGTAGACAAGGAGGCGGTCTGGCCCGGATACACAGTATGCGAGCAGCCTCACAAGGTTCGGGTGCTTCACCCGCGACAGCGTCTCCATCTCGGCGTGGAACTCCCGGAGGCCGTGAAATGCATGTGGCGAGAGGCGCTTCACGGCCACCGGGATGCCGTTGGGAGGGATGTGGGCACGGTAAACCAGACCGAACCCTCCGTCCCCGATGACGCGCGAAGGACTGAAGTTGTCGGTGGCTGTGACGAGGTCGGGCATCGATATTAAGGGGACGGAGGGGTCGAAGGAGGCCGCAACAGGTTGGAAGCTTTCAGCTGGATCCTGTGTAATGGTCCTGAGCTGGGTATCGTTTTTGTTGGTCTTTTTCTTGGAGAAGGGATTGCGGTGACAGAGGAGGAAGGCAAGACCGAAGATGACCGTCACGGCCGTGAAGCCCGCGAGGGCGGCCAGAAGGGCCTGGACAGGAGGTCCGAGCTGCGCAAAGGCCATGGCACGTGGTTCCTCTGGTTTTAGAGAGAGAGAGAGAGAGAGAGATGAATTGGGTCTGAGAGTGAGAAGGATGGGAACTGGGTAAGAGAGAAAGAGAGGGGGGATTGGGATTGGGATTGGGATTGGGATGGGGATGAGGTTTAGGATTAGGATGGTTAGAGAGAGAGAGAGAGAGAGAGAGAGAGAGAAAGTGTGGTAGAGAGAGAAGTAAATAGATTGCAATTTGGAGGTTATTGGTGTGGAAATTGAAAGATGAGGGTGGGTACAGGAGAAGTGGGTACAGGAGAAAAAGGAGAATGTGGTGGGACTAAGGATACGAAGAAAAAGGATTTGGAAAAGCGCGTGAAGAACCCACCCAGCCTTGTGGAATACGTCGAGCCATCAACCATTTGCTTCGGGCGTTCTTCTTCAAAACTCTTACTGATATTCTTTTTCATATGTTTGACTCTTCTCTCGTGTCTTGCCATGCCTTCTTCGCTCGGCGCGGTTTGGTTGTATCAGGGTTTTTATTTAGATATCAATCAATGGTGCTTCAAATTTTTTTGACTTTTTTTTTTTTCGGTTCAAATCCACCCAACCTAATTACATTCAATCTGCCATGCCAAAATTAATTTTATGGTTTTATGCCAACCAAGTGAAAGAAAGAAAAGGTCAAATACCAGTCAAATAATCATATTATTTTTTAAAATTTATTAAGGTGGTTAAATCATCTCATTTAAAATTAGAGTAAATTATTTGTGTATTCCAAATAATTACCTAAAATACAAATTGATCTGATTATAGGTGGAAAATACAAAGAAGGTCGATTGACCCGTATTTTTTTATTTTTTCGAAAATTTCCTTTCGGCCTTAGGATTCTATCCTCGTACCGTACTTCAATTTTTTTTAAAAAAAATCGTTAGTAGGGCAGTGCCCCAAGCTCTAGGGGTAGTGGCCAAGCGGTCTGAGGTTAAATTCTTCGGACCGCCCTACAACCACAACAAAACCCCAGTAGAGCGATCGGAGGACGGGAACCTCGGACCGCTCTTTGAACTTATTAGAACTCAGTTCTAGGGTTACTTACCCAAAAAAAAGAATTCAATTTTAGGGTGGTCCGAGATCCCCATCCTCAGGCTATGCTTTATTTCTTATTTTTTAAGAAAAGCAGCAGTCCAAAGATGGGGACCTCGGACCATTGTTTTTATCAAAAAATAAGAAAGAAAGAAAGAGCGGTGGGAACCTCAAACTGCTAAGGAACTAAAGCTTACTCAATCCAGAGGCCAGTCTGACAATTCTAACCTCAAATAGCATGCCCACTACCCTAAAGCTTGGGGCATTGCTCTACTAATGAAAAAACTAAAAAAAAATTAAAATGCGGTTCAATGATAGCATCCTTGAACTTATGGGCAATTTTGAAAAAAATAAACAGATGAGTTGACCAACCCTCCATGTTATCCAAAATTGTGTCATTTTGTATTTTCGGTAAAGTTTTGGGGTTCGTATGTAAATCACTCTTAAAATTATGAATAGTATTTTTATTTTAAATTTCGCTCATGTATTTTTGTAAAACAAATATGGCAAAGAGGGTCAAATTGTTGTTGTTTGGGAGTGCAAATTCTGTACAAGTATGGGCAAATGACAAAAATACCATTGGTTGACATAAACAAGATTTGAAAATAGACTTCCCACCTAACACATTAAATGATTTAAAAAATCCGTGGGGGCTCGTCATACTGACTTACCCCAAAAAAAAAAAAAAACATTAACAAAAATTTACAATTAACAAAGTGAGTTTTGTGCTTCTAACCCAGACAAGTAAGGCATTTTTGTTATTTGGCAGTTCCATTTTCATAACCAAACAATTGGGGATATTTTTATTATTTGATTTCGGCCAATTGACTCATACTAACTAGCGAAAAGGCCCCTACTTGTTCATATTCATTTACTTGTTCATATTCATGTTGAACGAAGTCATTTTGGTCACTTTTCCGTATACATTTTAAACTTTAAATAAAAATAAAATTTTGAAAGCAACACTCCGAATTAACAAGATGATAGGATCACCTCAATGATTTTGGAAAATGATTTATCCTTTTAATGGGTATTTTCCTATAAAAATTACTTATTTTCTACCTTTTTTTTGGTGTGGTTGTTATCCTAATTGTTTGGTGGAAACTAGAAAGAGTTCTCTCCATCATAGGTTTGACATTTTCTTTAACCACATTAGTTATTTCATAAAATAAAATACAGCAAATGAAAAGTATACGATGAGATCATTTACCTTTGATAGAAAGTAATCACAATTAATTTTGATCATTAGATGTGAAATTGGGTGGTTATAGTTATTCCGTTGATCAAACTCAAAGTTCAAAAGAATTTTTTTTAAAACTTTGTAGCACACTTTAAATATTAGATTTTACATCAGATGGGTATAAGTAATTGTGAATTTCTTGTACCAAAAGTAAATGATCTCATTGTATAAAATCTCATAAACAATTCTATGATTGGTCGTAAAATTTTCGGGGGCACTTTTAGTTAGCCTACGATTCACCTTCCGATTTTGATTATCCAAACCAATATCAAGGATATTTCAAGAGAAGCGGGGTCAACTTTTAATCTTCGTATACCCAAAAATTTAAATAAAATTCCAAAATACTTCTTCTAAAGTCTTTATTCTATTCGTGGTCAAACTTTGAAAGTGACCATATCGACTTTTACAAATGGAATACATAAGAAATGTATTTTGTGGACCAAAAAATGGTATGTAATTATGGAAATAGCACGTGTACTATGCTCCTTCGGGAGCATAGTTTATTTCTACTCCCTAGGTCAGACTATTTATTTCGGAAGATTTTACATTCGGAAATTTTAGAAATTACTTAAAGAATTATTAATTGATTATTTTCAAAAAAACAAACAATATTATTGGAGTTTTTTAAGACATAGACTTTACCATTTAAAAACTGGATGGTCTATTCAATCTCGAGACATTGTTTTTTTTAAGTGCATATAGGATACAATTAGGAAGCCGACTTTAATTAGTTGAAAAAATGCTCAGATGATAATGATTGGATACAATTAAAAAGGTTTTTTTTTATTGAAATTAATCTATCAATTGAATGTAACATCCTCAATATTTGATGCCCTAAAATTAATTATAAGTGAGGTTTCACAAGAGTAAATAAGTACCCTATTTCTGCTCAAGTAGAATATCTTAAGGGATTTTATGAAACTATTAAGTTTTTGTACAAGAATGTCACAATTATTTTTAACTATTGGATGTGAAATCCAATACATGAATCATAATATTCGAGAAATTTTTATTTTGAAACTTTGCTTTAATAATGACACATAATCAACCACCTAATTTCAAATCTAACGGTCAATAAAAATTATGAGCTCATTGTATCAAAATTAAATACTATCTTATATCTTTTCGCTTTTGGAAAGAACCGAGAGTTGTGCTCTCCTCAGTAATACATAGGCCCCGTTAAGCTCCGGCTTGGCTCGGCTCGGCTTATAAGCAATGAAATCGTCAATTAATCAGCGAGTTTCAATCGCATATTATATTATAATAATGTAGAATTATTTGTAATGGGACGTACTCTTTATTCAATTGATCCATGATGTCACACTCTAAATTATTACATTTCAGTCGTCTGGGCCCATTGTCTGCGCGACCTGGTCACTAAAAATGAGTCTACCGTGCTCCCGCAGATCATAATGTACACTTACTCCTTCAGATCTAATAGTCATCACGGAGGATTTTTTGGATTTGAGACTCTGAGATTTACCTAAGAAGTAAAAAACGCGTGCGGTTTGTATAGACCCGAGGTTTTAAACAATCAAATTAGAGCCCACCTTCAAATACTATCGAGAAATATAATTTCAATATTAGAAATTGTTATGATAGCCTTAAATTATATTTTCATCTTTAGGGATAAAATTCAAAGCTAGAAAACTTTAAAAACTTAAAATTAAAAAAAATAATGTAGACATATGCAAACTTGAAAATTGATAGTATGAAATTGCATTACAAGATGCACTATTTTTAAAATTTAAAATCTATTTTTTTTTTCATGTCCATACATCTTGATGTCGAGATGATCAATTTGATGATATTTGGGCATCAAAACAACCCCTTCTAGTGAATGTTTTGAGATAGATGATCAATTTGATGATATTTGGGCATCAAAACAACCCCTTCTAGTGAATGTTTTGAGATAGGTTTTAATTTGATTGTTTAGAGCCTTAGCTTCTATATAAACTTTTCCCTTAAAAAAATATTATTTTTAAAGGAAATTGTGTTGTGAATTATAAAATCCAATTTCTTTAAAATCCAAATTTGAGAGCTTAAAAATACTCATGCGCTTAGACTTACCTCAGCAAGCAGTGTAGGATCAATAAGATGGATCATTTACCCCCACAAGTCCATGTTGGATATTTGGATTTAAATCGATCCAAATCAGTGTATCAGATAATAAATAAATAAAAGTAAATTACAATGAAGGTTTATGGAGTGGAGATTTATGAGAGTACCTAAAAATATATTAGATAAACCTTAAATATAAAAAAAATAAAAAAATGAGTTTTTAGAAGGAACTAGGTTGAAACCCATACCATACCAAAAGCGATTGGGTCTTGAACAATTCCCCATTTGGATCATCCATTTAAATAGGAAATCACGTGGTTTTAATAAACTGCGAGAAGTGGGAAATACCCTATGGGACCATAAAACCTTTCAATACATTTATGGAGTGGGGTGGCTTCCAAATAGTATACTCCACAATTAATATGGAGTACACAATATGAGATGGCTGATATGGATGCCGCGGAGCATCTTAATCGTCCATATTGGAAAGGCAAAGTATATGCTATGCATCAATCAAGGGATCTTGTGCCCCACCGGTGGAAATGAATTGTAACTTCCAATTTCCATATGACAAATATTCAAACATAACATACGTGTTATCATAGTGTATTGACTTGTATACACATGTTAATTTATGGCCTCACTGAAGTTATGACCCTTAATAAAGTAGAATAACGGATTAAAATTCATGTAACCAATCGTAATTAGTTGAAAAATAGCTTTGACGATAATAACAATTCATATATTAATATATACATAGAGATTTAGTGACCCAGGCTTTCTATGCTATCAAATGGATAAAACAAATTTGTTAACCCATAACATACTTGAAATTCTTTTATGTTTAAGCATGGATACTCGTCATATGTGCTGTACTCAGCTATCAAAGCAATGCTCTTAAACCTGGTGATTTTCAATCTGGATTGTCAATAATTGGTCAGTTATGACATGTATGATTCCCAACACAGTTTTCCTTTTAAACCCCTATATATATATATATATATATATATATAATAATATTTCTTCGTATCACCTCACAAATATAACAAAGAAAAAGTAAAGACCTCTACTAACTTTAGTTCGGTGGGTCGTTTCTATAGAATAGGTATTACTTAATTTTTTTTACGGTTTAAGTTTATTATTAGTCTAGTATTTATTTATTCTTCCTTTCTTATAT